AAAATGTACTGAAATTGATTATTTAACTTTTAATTAAACATACATTATGTAAGAGCTAAATCTGCCTATTGCAGGCCTTTCTTTAGGCCTGAAATATTATCTTAATTATTAATTAGACATTAATTAACTTACCAAGACCATAATCAATTCTCGATGGCTCCGATATTAAGTAGCTTTAAATACGTTTTGTGGTTGATGATTTACCGTAACAATGGATAATCGAGACTTTGTTTATTATAGTAACAGCGGTAGCAATGACGAACGAGGCTACAATGTAATTGTATCGGCGATATCTCGATTCAGAGTGAAGCAATTTGACTGAAATTTTCAGCATATTCTATTTACATTATCTATTTTTCAAACTATTATATCGAGAACTGTCAGCTCTTTGTCTAATCTTCAATAATACTCATTTAATTAAACAAAAAAAATGAAAATGTCAGTGGTAGATTATTTTCCTGTGCTGATTCCATCGGATTAACAAGAGGCCTATCAAACTCACATATGTCACTGGCTTGTGTTGACTATATCTGCAGTGGATGTCATTTGTTTAATTAATTTCAATTCATTATATCTTTGTAAATATTTAACTGAATTGAACCATTCTTAGACTGATTGGATGAGATTCAACTGACACAATATTATAGGTTGCAAAGGATTCCCAAAATCCCTTAAATAATGTTCAGAGATTTTAAGTGGCAATATGTAGCGACTTTAAAGTATATGAAATGAATTATTATAGGGATATTATGTTTTAGCAATGTCATACCGGTGTCCATATTTTTATTATCTTTTTTATGTGGATATTGTCGCCTTATAAATAAATAAATTATTATGATTATTATCTACACAAATATAAATTAAAAAAATACTCATAAAATAAAGGTCGGTATATTGAACAAGCATTGATCGATCTAATATTGGTGAATCACGAAACATATTATTGTTTTGTAATTTCAGTTTGATTGATGGACAACCGCCATGTGTTATAATCAGTTCATCACCAGGTGGTAAAAATAAACCATGGCAACCTACCCTTTGTTCTGTAGGTCATTCATTCTACTGTCTCAAGCAACCAGGTAAGACATTGCTTCATCCAGTCACCTTGGAAACAAGCACGACGGTATTACTATAAACCTCAGATTCGAGACGTCATAGACACCATCTTCGAATCGTATTCCGCCAAACGATACTACCATAAACCTCAGATTCGTGACGTCATAGACACAATCTTCGAATCGTATTCCGCCAAACGGTAATACTATATATAAACCTCTGATTCTTGACATAATCGGCGATATCTGATGCGCAATTGTCCAAAGAGCAATGTTGTCAAGTGTTATGTTAATCGTACTTGAATTGGCGTAGCCTTTGGGGACCAGTTCCTTATTTAATAAGGATAGTACTAATGACATTTTACGGCCTACTGGAAGAAATGCATTTAACATTTTGTCAACAGAATTTGTGGGCAAGTACGAGACATATTTGCGATCGGACAGTCCAGGCGTGGAACATACATGGGGTACTATAATTTTGGGTGCAGAAAAGTAGGACGTCAAACCCCATTTCATTTTATCCAGCGTTTGGTCAAAGTGAGAGACAAATTTGACTTAAAGCTGCGGAAATTGGGTATATGATTGTAAATTCGTCTACTTGCGTTGCCAGTTTTCGTACAGTTCCTCGACCTTTGTTCGATCCCTAAGCCGGACTCCCTTGCAAACACGCAAGCGTTTTTTTCTGAAAAGATATAATTAGGATTGTTCATGTCCAGATTGAAGACCTTACAAAAGTGAGGCTGGGGTGGGCTAGTGGTTTAGACTGGCACACTTTGAGTTATAGCTGGTCGGTCACTTCTGGCTTGTGGTCATGGTTTCGATTCCTGGTGTGAAAGTATGTGGCTTGGAAATAGGAGCGCCTTCTCAATCTCGTGGGTTTACTCCGGATGCTCCGACTATACTCCACAGGAAGGACCCCTGCGCGTGCCTAAAAAAACCAAAACAAGATAACTTGTCTGCTTGTCTGCGATATCACCCTCCTTGGAAGCGGACGTTAAACACCGCGAACAACAACATTGTAGAGCTACGTAATACACAATGCAATAGCCAGATCAGATTTAGTTGTAAAACGGTTTCTATTTGGGTTGTTTATTCCGGGGGGGGGGGGCTGAATGGTTGCATCATAAAGTCTATCATTGAGTCAACTGGCGTGGTTTCGATTCCGCCAGTTGTACGTGACAAGGGGTAGGGTCGCCTGTCCAACCTCGTGGGTTTTCTCCGCCCCCCCCCCCCCAACTGCGAAATAGCCCTATGCGCAAGCGAATTATTGAAATAAAATTGAACAATATGTTAGACCCGAAATGACGTAGTTTCTGTCGAGTGGTCGTTAAACCCTATTTCTATCTTTCTCTCTATTTGGGTTTTTATTTTTTTTATCAATGATATTTTTCAGGATTAATGAAGACTCCAGCATACGGTAAGTAAAATGTTTATATTAACCTGTTTATCACTGTGCTTGATAACCATAAGATGATATTTATCGAAACGTTTTACGTATAGATAACTAGTGATTGTGTTCCATAAAAATAAAGTTTTGTTAATGTGTTTCTCAATTACCAAATAATACCACTTAAAGAATTTATGATAATTGGATGGTAAATTGAATGGAATTAATAATAATATAAGCTTGTAAAAGATTCTCAAGGATCAGTGGTAAATTGATCCCAAGTTGAGTTCAACATAGCCGCCGTATATAATATTTTCCTTCTTCTTTTTTTAAAAAAACCCCAATATTTTATCCAGAAATTGAAAAGGATTGAGGAATAGGCATATGACCTCTGTCCTAATCAGTTAGTAGTATAAATTGTGTCGTTTAACATGTACAGAGGTCATATTTTTGATAAACAATATTTTATTTAAAATTGAAAGGGAGTGAGGTACGGGCATAGCCTATAATTATAACCCCTCTCCTAACCCTAACACTAAGTTAAAAATAAATCAATTAATATGCGATGCAGCCATGTAGGAGTAGGACTCAGCTCGTGTCCAATTCACCTTTAACCGCGTGCCAATAAATATAATATCAAGTGAAATCAATCGAACTAAAATACAAATCTATATTTCGTTTCGTTTTTTTATATTTTCGATGGTCTACACTAAATGAAGATCCGACCAGTTGTAGCAATAGGTCGCGTCAGAGGTCATACGAGCGGCTTTTGACCCTATGCCGTCAGACATTTGATTAAACAATCAGCTTTGATGTTTCTAGTGGATTACCCACAGTTCCGTGCAAAACACGCCTAAAGCTCGCCGTAACAGACCGTTTCATTGGCTAATCCCTCACATCATTCAGAACACGTCAATGATAACAACTCTTCCAGATCCTAGTGTAGTAAAGACAAGTAAAACGAAATTTTGAACTATAAAAACGAAACGAAATAGGATCTGTGTTGTAATCAGATTTCCAGTGAAATCGATAATTTTGTCTGGTATAACCAAATCATTTTTAGAAATTGTGAGTGATTTATATTGCCTTTATTGTATTTAAGATTGTGGAGAAGGGTTTGAGGTGGCCCCGGAAACTCACACGTGTTACAAGTTCTCTGAGAATCAACTCAACTGGCTGATGGCTCGAGGTGACTGTAGAGGAAAGGGAGGGGATCTCTTAAGTATAACCTCAAAAACTGAACAGGATTACGTGGAAGGTAAACCGTTGGTTCTATTATTTTACCCGTGTTGAACCCCGATTTGGAGTCTTTTATCGTCCCTAGTACACGTAAAAGAACCATGAGCAGTTGGAATTCGAAATAAGAGTAAGTCGTAGCGCCACTGTAAAGGCAAAATCCCCCACACAGCATACTGCATGGCTTATTCCTGTCTTCATTAACCCCGGTTGGCGCAGAAACGTGGGACGTTAAGCACTATTTACACTCATTTCATTACTCTTACTGCGCCCGTAAAGAATCCCTTTTTTGACTAAGGGGGACTTGAAAATAATGTCTGCACTCACAAAATGATTACCGATGAGCGTGCTTAACTAAGCATTAAAATGCTTTAATGAATGTATTTATCATTTTTAGTGAACCCATTCCATTTGAAATGAAATGGAAGTGGGTTTAACGTCCTAATGTTCTGCTTCGGGGTGATCGAATGGTATAGCGCGTGATTTAGACCCCCTGTCTGTAGGCGAAAAGGCGTAGAGTTGTTTGTCTTACCAGGTTTTCCATGCACCAGTGAATTGTTGAAATTATTCAACCACATGTTAGTTAGTCCGAAACAGACCAAGTTTATGTCGAGTGGACGTTACCCCCCCCCCTCTCTCTCTCTCTCTCTCTCTCTCTCTTATACGTCATGCCCGGTTGCTTGTTCATATAGTACCTGTATATTTTTTTTTATTTCACGTACAGGTCGTATAAGGGGAAGTAACGATAGTGGAATTATTTGGATTGGTTTAACTAATTTAAATAAAGATGAAACCTGGCAGTGGTCGGATGGTTCTCCATTAAACTTAACAAACTGGTTGAAAGGTAAGAATGTTAATTTATTCTCTGGGGTTTGAATTATTTATGTTGTTCACCTAATTTCTGGTCCATGAACTAATCATCTTTCGCTGCTCATTTTATTCTTCGAAAAAAGAAAGTCTAAAGTTTCCCCCATTTCATGTATATCGATACGAATCCAGGCACGATTGCGTATCGATTGCCGGTTGTCGTCCTTTTTGGACCAGTAATTGTTTTTTGGGAGGCGACGCTCAACGGATCCGCTAATTCCTGTACGATCAACATGAAACTTGACATGTTTGTTCGACTGTTGACGTCACAATTCCAAGATTGTTGTGACGACGTCATATTTAGTTCCTGATCCGGTGGTATTTGTTGATAGTTGTTTTTTTTAATCAATGTATGTATTTATTCAGGTGAACCGGAAACTGTTGATGGTTCTGGTGCTGATTGTGGTGCTATCAGTAATCTGGAATATGGTTGGTTTAATCAACAATGTACTACAATGTCCAGATATATCTGTAAAAAACATCCATCACCAGGTAAATATCACATGTCACCAGGTAAACATGAGCATTTCAAACCACCATAATCATGAATACTTACTCTACCCCCAGAATGAATGAAATGGTGTTTAACGTCAAGCTGCTTTTCACACTAATCGGGATAATGAAGGTGGACATACAGAGCTTAACCAGGGGAGAGAGAGAGAGAGAGAGAGAGAGAGAGAGAGAGAGAGAGAGAGGTGGGGTCGGAGAAGATCCACGAGGTTGGACAGGCGATCCTACTAATCGAAACCACTCCAGTTGACACAATGACAGACCTAAAGATAAGACGCTCAATCGCTAACCATTTGCCCCCCCCCCTCGCGCAACGAGGAACATTGTGCCAGTGCAGCATCGTATTCGCAAATTCTTGGTCGAATGCCAAGGGTTGTTTTATGAGTATATCAACCTGGGACGTTGGCCTTCTACCCTGTACTACTGACAAGTGGTAACCACCTTAAAAAAAAAGAACTCTCTCAGCCTACACCGGATTCTAACCTAGGAACTCCACCGGGATACCGGGACTGTCTCCAAAGGATTACATACATGTATTTATATAAATTGCCCCAATATACAACGAGGATATTTTAACCAAAGCCTATTCCAAATGACAGACTACCAGCACGACGACATAAAAACCCAATGTACCATAATAAACTGAATATCATGATAAACATGAAGCCTACCACATCACATTTCTCTCCTACAAGTGGTATTCAATTCTTAAAACCTGTTTTATTTTTCTATAGCCACAACAACAAGTCCTATGGTTACCCAGCCAACGACGTCATCTAAACCAGGTAACTTTTTCTATGTACATCAGATTATGTTCTGTATGGTGTCATTTAAACAATTTTATTAAAACACAGATCTTATTTCGTTCCGTTTTTTATAGTTGAAAATTTTCGTTTTAGTTGTCTTTATTACACTAGGATCTGGAAGAGTTGTTATCTTGATGAGAGGGATTAGCCAATGAAACGGTCTGTTGCAGCGAGTTCTCACGGAATTGTGGGTAACCCACTAGAAACATCAACACTGATCAGTTAATCACATGTCTGACGTCTTTGAGCCAAAAGCCGCTCGTTTGGCCTCTGACACGACCTTCCACTACAACCGGTCAGATCTTCATGTAGTGTAGGCCGTCGAAAGTATAAAAAAAAACGAAACAAAGTATAGATCTGTATTTTAATCAGATTGCAATTGAAACTGACAAGCGTTCTTTTAGGTGCATGCTAAGGAGCTGGCAGACACGCCGCTGTATAGGCAACATCCCCCTTAGATTAGACGGCATGGCCGTCTTCATTGTTAGGCATGTGAACTCCTCAATTGTTGTCGGGAGTACTATAAAAAAATGATTATACCCTGCCTCGTGCACTACACCCGCTACTACATGTAGCTGATTGACTATGACTTTCCGGCTGAAGACCACCAGTAGCATCACCTGTAGCTGATTGACTTGAACTCCGGGTTGTAGACCACCAGTAGCATCACCAGTTGTGAAAATACAAAAACATATAGATTTTCTTTAAAGTTTCAGTTTGTGGAACAAATTGGGAATGGGTTGCTGCAACCCAACATTGTTACCAGTTCTCAGAAGATAGTTTAAATTGGTCTGATGCCAGGTTAGAATGTAAAAGAGATGGTGGGGATTTATTAAGCATTATATCGTCGGCAGAACAAGCGTATATAACAGGTACGAACTTATTTTATAAAAAAAACCCCAAACCGAACAACCACGTCCAACTTGTTTTAAAGGTATATACTTATAAATTTATAAAAAAAAAAACTTTTACATAGAGTTAAAGGTATATACTTATAAATTTATAAACAAACCCCCCCAAAACAACCACCTCCATCTTTTACATAAAGTTAAAACCCTTTAAATCTTACAACACTCCACATTTATCAAGTACAACGTTTGAATTTCTTAATTAAAGGCATTAGGTAAGATTAGATAAAGAGCTGACAGTTCTCATTATAATAGTTAAAAACTAGATATTGATAAGGGAATCGGTTGAAAATTTCAGTCAAATTACTTCACCTTAAGCCGCATTAAAGGAACAGTGTAGCCTTGATTGTCATTGCTTCCATTGTTACGATAATAAACAAAGTCTTGATTATCCATATGTACTGTAATTTAATATTTTTATTTTACAGATCACATCACAGCTCGTGAGTTGAGTTATATCTGGATTGGTTTAAACGATCAATCACGAACAGGATTCTGGCAATGGTCAGATAATTCGACCCTTACATCCCTCAACTGGATAAAAGGTAATTAATGTACTGATAATTTTTTGGGAACTAAAACTAATGATTTTAGCTTTTTGTTACAAGTCATTTGAACAAAAGTAAAAATAGATCTATATGTCAGTGTATCTCGGTTTGACCCAATTGTTAAGTATTATGACACCTATAAACGATTGTAATGCCCTTTGGTTTGCATCATGCACCCTGGCCTTCTAAAAGATCATATCATCATATTCAGCATAGACACTGTATCTCTTTTAAATAAATGTTGATACAGTGGATACCAGTGAATACTGGAACTATAACTAAATCATATTTAACTTCTGGTGACAAGCCAACTCTAAATTGTATATTTCAATTTTAAAGGATAATATACCTATTTATAAACGACAGCAATCCCCTTCGGCTTGTGTCATGCACCTGAGACTTTCTGAGCTTTATTTAACCTCGATTTGGAAGGATTTTAATGTTATCTTGTTCCAACCCGATTCTAAACTGTGTCTTATCAATTTTATACACCCTCTGCATTTGGTTAGCTTCGATTTTAAAGGTCGCCAGTCGAACCTCGTGGGTTTCCTCCCACTGCTAAAGACCCCTATGCGCAAGCGAATTATTGAAATAAAAATAAACCATGTGTCGAGTGGGCGTTAAACCATCTATCTCTCTCTCTCTCTCTCTCTCTCTCTTTCAAGGATTATACTGTTATAAAATTGTATGTGTTGTTTGTTAGGTGAGCCAGATAACAGTGGAAAATGTGTGGCTATTACCACCACACAACCTGGATGGGTCGATCTCCCTTGTCATTATCAAAATAAATATGTCTGTAAAAAGCCAAGACCTTCAGGTAAACTGAATTATGTTCGTATTGTAAAAAATACATGATATGTTATGTATCATGGCTAAAGCGTATATATTTTATTCTTAACAGTCTTGTTAATTATATTTCGAGGCTGGGGGTTTAAGTCTCTTAGTGGTCTAACACCTGCTGTAGATTATCTGTACCAGTCATTTTGTCTATATCATACCAGGGATAGTGTCCATAATCATATTTCATGGTGTCTATACCAGGGATAGTGTCTATAATCACACTTCATGACTTACCACCCACTTTTAAAGACCTATGAAATGCAATTATACCGTATATTTCTAGGCGGCCCAGTGCCATTGACTCGACTTAAGAATTACTAAATTAAGATATAATTTCTTGGACTGTTTTTATGTTACTATTGCTTTGCCTCTGTATAAAACATTATGTTGGCGTTTATAAAGCATTCTGTGGATTATTACAACCGTTTTAATTGTTTAATTCAATATAACCTTTTTAAATGGGAATAGACGTCTATTAATACAACCTAACCTATTTAAAGGTGAATATGCGTCTATTAATACAATCTGGTCTAATTAAAGGGGAATAGACGTCTATTAATACAATCTGGTCTAATTAAAGGGGAATAGACGTCTATTAATACAATCTGGTCTATTTAAAGGGGAATAGATGTCTGATGATATTATTTATATTATTTACAGGAACCGTCAGCACCTTGCCCGTTGTTACCACCTCACCTGCTTCTATACAAGGTACACTTATGATAGTCGTCATAAAAGATGTATTTGATAATATTTGGCAGAGAAGTACCTAAACCATTTAATAAGGAATTTATAAGCATCCCCTACCCACCCCACCCGAACCCTTTATCAAGATTAATCTACGAAACGTTATGAAATGGAGTTTAAGGTGCTACTTTTCTGTACCAATTAGGTTACTGGAAATGGGCACATGCCATGCAGTTGGCTGCGGCGAAAAACGGCTTTTCTGCATACGTTCACTCCAAGGTCAACAGGGGGTTTTGGGACCACCTATAGGATTTGTGACCGCGTAAGCTCTATACAATTAAATTTGGGGCCTATTGTGTCAACAATGGAACACAAAGGGGTTATATATATTTTAATACTCTGCCCGTATCACATTGTGGTTGTTTTCATGTTTCGAGGACGTCTGTTTTCCTCAAATGGACCTTTCTTATGTTCTACTTATATTTTCACAGTCTTGTATTTTTCTGGAGTTTTTAACACAATATTTTTATTTAGCCAGTATCCGAATTTGCAGTGGGGAAACAGGCTTCTGTTTTTTTCTGTTAACTGGTGTGGACCATCTTGTGATTTATTTCTGAGTAGGGAAACAGACTATGTCTATGTTGTTTTTTATCTGTTAAAGATTGTGGACCATTTTGGGATTTATCTGTGAGTGGGGAAACAGTCTATGTCTATGTTTTGTTTTTTATCTGTTAAAGATTGTGGACCATTTTGGGATTTATCTGTGATAACTAACACATGTTATATGTTCTCTGATGAATCATTAAACTGGATGAACGCTAGAAATGATTGTCGGAGTATGGATGCTGATCTATTAAGTGTAACATCAAACACTGAACAAACCTACATCAGAGGTATTTACATGTAATAGTATATAGCTTTCATTTAAACATTTACAATGCCCCGTTTGTCGAGGGTGTGGGTTGGGGTGGGGGGGGGGGGGCGGGGGCGAATATAATACATCGATTTCATTTACACATAAACAATACTCCCATGTGTCGTGGGGGTTTAGGTGGGGTGGGGGTGGATGGCTGAATGGTTAGCACATGCGCGATGTATCATAAAGTCTGACATTGAGTCAACTAGCGTGGTTTCGATTGACTGGTTGTACGTGACAAAGAGTAGGGTCACCTGTCCATCCTCGTGGTTTTTCTCTGGATCATTCGGTTTCCTCCCACTGCTAAAGACCCCTACGCGCAAGTGAGTTATTGAAATAAAGTTGACGTTAGACTCTCTCTCTCTCATTTTTCGAGTTTTGCGTTGGTAGGTTGTCTCCCTTGTATTGAATTTGTATTCATTTCGAGTGTAGCATGGCTTGGAATAGTATAGTACAGTGGACGCTTGTGACTGGCCCCGGGATCCATTCATTGGATGTGATAGTGTTTTTCTTTTATTTCTTTGTTGTCCACGGGTTTGTCTTCTTGGGTGGCTAAGTGGATAAGGCACTGGCTCGCTAGTCTGGAGGTCGCGTGTTCGATTACTGCATTGACCGAGAAGTTCGTCGGCATATTCTGACGTGTTTTCCCCTTGTCAGTGGTGTAGGACGGAGGGGACGAAAACCCGAAGTACCGTGTACACATTGGCGTGCACGTAAAGATCCCTTGGCAGTTGTAATTCAGTATACGAATAGGCCGTAGTGCCGCTCTCCGGTCAAAATTTCCCTCATAGCACACTGTATGACATATGCCTGTCTTCATATTTTGGTTGTATTTTATTATAGCTCGTATCAGCGATCAGAATATGGCTTTAATATGGATTGGATTAAATGACTTAAACACAACAGGAATCTGGCGATGGACAGATGGGACACCTTTAAACTACGTTACCTGGGAAGCAGGTAAATGTTGCTATTTAGATTATGTTAACTGGGGAACAGGTAAATGTTGCTATTTAGATCATGTTACCTGGGGAACAGGTAAATGTTGCTATTTAAATTATGTTACCTGGGGAATAGGTAAACGTTTCTATTTAAATTATGTTACCTGGGAAACAGGTAAATTTTTGTATTTAGATTATGTTACCTGGGGAACAGGTAAACGTTGCTATTTAGATTATGTTACCTGGGAAACAGGTAAACGTTGCTATTTAAAGTGAAACATGGCTTCGATCATTTTGAGACTAAAATACGACTATCTAATTGAGTACTGTTACTGGTGTGTACACGGTTAGCCTCAGGAAAACGGAGGTTGGGTTCCATCTCCCCCCCCCCCCCCGCTAACTGTCACTGGTTCCTTTACAACATTGTTGGCCTGTATTCGTTTCGTCTCGCTAACACTGACAGGTTAAAATTCTAAACACAGCGAAAAGGATAGGTTTAAGGCACCCTCTTCTTCTTCTTCTTCTTGAAAAATGAGGCACAGGGTACGATCGACTTTGTTCTTTACACAATTTATTTGCGCATCATCTTAACGTCATAATTCCAAGATGGCTGCGATGACGTCATGTTCGGTTTCTGGTTTAAGTAGTAAGCTAATAATCCCCTTGTGTACGACGACTTTGTTCTTTACACAATTGCGCATCATTTTAACGTCATAATCCCAAGATGGCTGCGATGACGTCAGGTTCATATAGTAAGCTAAAAGTCCTTTTGTGTTATATCGGATAGGTTTCCCCCAGACTGAGGAGAGTGATGGTCGTGACTGTGTATCAATCAATACAGAGAAAGATGGCTGGACCAACTGGGATTGTTATCATAAGTCTAGATATATATGTAAAAAAACATATCCACCAGGTAAGTCCGTGTTTTAATTCTTAAAGAGATACAAGCACTTTTATTATGATATTAGCATCTGGGGATAAAAATATCTAAATATCTTAATGATAACAATGAAATAAAATGAGGTTTAATGGGAAAGTTTCTCTGGTCAGCATATTCCTGAAGCAATGGCCCGAGAAATCCCTCTCTGGCCATTGCTGGATTGACGGTGAAAGTTTGTTCGTCTCCAAACAGTATTGTTTAGATTGTTTTCGATTTGACAGCCTCGTTTGTCACGCAATTAGTTTTTCGGCAATATTCTGCTATGTACTGGTTAATTGGGTATAATAAAATCGTGAGTCATGACCTAACGTTATGTAAACATATTTGGTCCAATATGGAGCTCTGTTTTAAACGTAATGCTTTTGGAACGCAGTTAGCTATTGGTTGTTAATCGGACCATTGACCAGTCATAATTTTGAACAGAAATTTGCTTTCGTTAAAGCAGTGTTTAGTGGGATTAGGTATAATCAAACGAAACACTGCGAGGAGTGTGTCTGGCCCGAGATGTTTCCGCCTACTCTACGCCGAATTTCAGTCCATCTGTCATAGGTTCTTTAACACAACTCAAATTGTGATATTATAAATTGGTAATTTATGCGAAATTGCATTAGGCGAATATAAGTGCATCAGAGGATATGATTTATAATTTATATTAGCTATGATATGAGGTTTTTTTAAAAC